TATACGTATGTGGAAAAGTTCCGGTGCTTTCTGGGTTAAATAATATGTATTTTAAAATTGTTCTTTTAGCCCTGTGGTATCTTTTCTAACCATGAATTTTTTGCTGTGGAAGCATGCATAACACATCAGCATTGTGGATCAATAAGAGGACACCTGGCGTCGTAAATAGCTACTCAGTGCCACTTATCTGCTGATCAGAGGTGAATACTTTTAGGCTTAGTCTACACTAGCAATTTATGTTGGTATAACTGCATTGCTCAGGGCTGTGAAAAATCCACACCCCTGAGCGACGCACTTGAACTGACCTAACTCGCGGTGTAGACAGCAACAGCATTATGTTGACGGGAGGGCTTCTCCTGTCAACCTAGCTACTGTCTCTCAGGAAGGTGGATTACTACGCCAACAGGACAAGCTCTTCCATTGGTTTAGGTAGTGTCTTCACTGAAGCACTCCAGTGGCGCAGCTGCATTGATGCAGCTGCACTTTTGCAGCCTTTTAAGTGTCGACGTGCCATTAAAAAGTAAAGACCGTTTTAGTTAAAAATGCAGCACATAATGAGAAGCACCGCAGTTACTGGTGCATCCTAGGGGAGGGAAATAGGGGTCAAATTGCTTTAACGTTCAGAGATCCTATAGTTACTAAATTTTCAGTTATTATACTTGCCGGGCAACTAGAATGAATGAAAGGAGTTGGTCTGAATAAGATTAGATATTCACATTGTTCTGTAAATGTCACAAGGACCATCAGTGGCCTCTGAATGTCTCCAGTAATGCTGGTTAAAAATTGTAATTTCTATTCTGCATGAAATTCTGATATTTTGACATTTTGTTTTTGCCCCAAATTGGGACAAAAGGTCAAAATATTGCATTTTTTATGGAAAGGAAAGTTTAGAAAAAAATTCAATTTATAAATGTCAGAATATCCCATTTCAACATTTTTGCTAGAAACTAGATATTTTAACACTCCTGAATCAAAATATTTAATGTTGGCTAGGGTTGATATTAAATTGTGTCCGCCTGAGCTGCTGAGTTGCCACATGAGAGGTAGATGCTCCCATTCTTTTCTATGGGCCAGGCTCCCTGGTAGGACTCCATCTCCTGTATTGCATTATGGCAATGGGTTTCTCATGATTAAGAATCCGATTCTGTCACAGAGGTCACGGATTCCACGATTTCAACGGACCTCTGTGACTTCTTCGTCTTTAGCCAGCCGTGATGGTGGGGCTAGAGCAGCTGTCAGCCCCCACCCAGGAGCAGTGGTGGGATTGGAGTAGTGGCCTAGGGCCAGAACAGCAGCTGCTGGGGCTGGTGGTCAGCCCCTGCTGCAGGAGCAGCAGCTGGGGCTGGAGCAGCGGCCGGTCTGAGTCAACGCTGCAGAAGGAGTGGTGGGGCTGGAGCAGTGGCTGGTGGTCAGCCCCTGGCAGAGCTCCCACTGTTAGTTTTCCCCTCTTCCCCCCCGGGTATTTTTAGTAAAAGTCAGGGACAGGTCATGGGCTTCTGTGAATTTTTGTTTAATGCCCATGACCTGTCTGTGACTTTTACTAAAAATACCTGTGACAAAAAATGCATCATGGCCAGGGCCGGCTCCAGGCACCAGCGCAGGAAGCAGGTGCTTGGGGCAGCCAATGGAGAGAGGCAGCAAGTCCGGGTCTTCAGCGGCAATTTGGCGGCGGGTCCCTCAGTCCCTCTCAAAGGGAAGGACCGGCCGCCGAATTGCTGCTGAAGAATGAAGTGGCGTGGTAGAGCTGCCGCCGAAGTGCCGCCGATCGCGGCTTTATCTGTTTTTTTTTCTTCGCCGCTTGGGGTGGCAAAAAAACTGGAGCCGGCCTTGATCATGGTGGTTCAGCCAAAGGGGAGACCACAGCGTATCAAAGGAGATGCAGTCCAGCCAAGGAGTCCAATCCATAGAGAAGAATAAGGACATGAGGCACTCAAACTGTCTTCCATGAGGGAGTGCAGCAGCACAGGTGAACAGAGTTTAATGTCAAACTGACCTGAAAACATTGATTAATTTGGCTTAAACCCTCCCCCCCCCATCTTAAATGAAACATTTTGTTTCAGTTTTCCAGGGGAAATTTGAAAAAAATCAGTACAATTTGAAATTTTCCCAAAGAAGATTTTGATTTTTGCATAAAGACTTTCTGTAGCAAAAACCATTGTGAGAATTCCCAAACAGCTCTAGTCTGCAGGGACCCTTTGCTGAGAAATACATCTCCCCTTCCTCACATGTAGAAGCCTTAATTTGGTCCTAAATATAAAAGCTATTCATAGTCTGAGTCTAAATATAACATGAGTATTCTGTGAGGTGTAGTCTAGGTTAATATCTATTTCTGCAAAGATAGAAGAGAGATATTAAGAGAAAATCTTTCAAAACTCTACATAGAACATTCAAAAAATATACAATGGTGGAGACTTTCAATGGCACAAACAACAGTTAGGTTGTCTGTGCTTTTGAAAATCTCCACCAATACACTACAGAAAAAACTGATATAACTGCTCAGATGTCTCAAATACCCAACTGAATGCTTCCTCCGCCTGTGTACTCAAACAAACTATTCTTAAATTCCCCTGATCCCCACTGATGGAAGGTCACCACAGAAATTTTATCTTTTAAGCACTGTTTTGATCTCTCTTTAACCTTGAAGCAAAAAATCTAATCTGATGAATTAGCCTCAGTTTTGCTTGGTAAATAATAGAAGCTGCAATATTTAACTGAAAGTCAAATCTGAGCAAAACAATTTTTTTCTTTTGGTGTTTGTGACACATGAACTAAATCTACATCCTAGCATTTTAAGGCACACACAGCTATGTACAGTGTTTTTCAGTCCTGGCATAGTGTATGGGAAACAGCAGAGACACTTACTTCAGCCTGGCCTTTTAAAAAGAAAATGGCAAACAAAAACAGCTTGCTCCAGTCAAGGATAAAAGGAACATTTCTTAACTCTCAAATTCTCCTGTATACCAAGTCAGCAGGGTCGTCACTTTCCAAGTGTCTCCTTCCTGCCCAAATCTGGGTCCAGGAGCATCCTGACCCTGGCTGAGTGGAGATGGGAGAGAGTGAAAGCTCCTTATATCCGTACTCTAATGAACTCCTTGTTAATCTCTTCCCTACTACTTTAGCATGGGTTATGTACATCCTACTGCAAACTCCTTAGAATATATTTCTTTAGTTTCCCCAATAATCATCTACTTCTCACCAAGAAATTCTCTAAAATGCATTATTCCAGTGCAAGGTGAACAACATTTTTTCATGTGTAATCTAAGCTATTTTGTAAATGGGGTCGAGGGGGAGGGGTATCAAATAAATACTAGTACATTTTCCAGTAAGTTAGTAATGGACGCTCTTTTAAAACACCACAGTTAAAAAAAACCTGCCTTTCTGTTTTTTTGTTGTTAATTTATTCCAGATTTAATTTTTTTCTCCAACTTCCTCTGCCCTAGGATGAAATGTGGTATGGGATATGTCAGGGAGGAGAAATGGGTTTCTTTTTGAGGCAGCTAGGGATGGGCTTCAAAATCAGCCTAACATAACTATGGAGCAGTGCCTGCCACCCAGAATACTGCTTAAGAGCCCTAAATTGTGAGTTGCACACATTCAGAAATGTATTTTTTAGAGGCACTTGTCTTTCATTAGCAATTGTACATGAGAAACCTGCTCCACCACTAATTACAGCTGAATTTAGCTGCTTCTTCAGGCAATTGCCAGTTTGTTTTTAAATTAAATTACTGTACCTCTCCATTAGCAAATGCTGTCCTTGCACTTGTTCTGCATGTTGGTACCATTACAATAGTTATGACAGGCAATACTACAGACATTATAGGCACTGAAAAAGCCCCTTTCTCTTGGTATTTTTTTTTACATTCCTTAGTGTCCCTGTACAACTTTTAAAGGTTGATTTTAAGCCTGCATGGAATGAGTTAAAAAGAACCCTGTGGTGCAAGGCCCCACAGCGTTGATTATGCTTAGTAAAGCTGAACAGCACACTTGCTGACCAACTGCTGCTGCAGCACAAATCTCATTTTAATGTGGAGATTTTTCATGTACAGGAAAAATCTCAGTGGAAAGGCTGCTGACCATGGGCAAAAGTGACAATTGAGTATCAACCCATCCATACATCAGTCAAAACAGCTGCCTCAGTGGCTCAGCTCAATGTTATTGCAATTGCTAGTTAAGTGCCCTAGTCCATCTACTGCTGAGATTTGAGTCCAAGATATTTGTATAGGTATGAGTCCATCTTGCAGGACTGAAAATCTCTCCCCAGCCTCATACTGTTTATTGTTCCGAAGCAGACAAAAATTTACTAATGTTAGCCATTATTACCCTGTACCCCACGGACTGTGAAGAGACCAAAACATGTCCATAATCACCCATTGTGCATTGTATGATCCTATTAGCGACACCATTCAATTTAAAATGTGTTCTTTGTCCGGTCCCATTTTTGTTTTTGATCAAGTTTCCAGTTCTTGCTGGAAAAGGATAGGAACTTGTACGCTGATATGAGTTGAGAGTGTAAGATTTAGTATATGCAGCAGCTGTAAGGACTGTACTAGGTATCCAGTTCATTAATGGGATTAGCAAATATAGGTTTTAGATTCTGAATGTTCTCTCTCCTTATTTCCAAACATGTACATCTCCTTTGGAATAGAGGAGAAAAAAATAAGGTCTAAATCGCTGCTGGGGACTGATCAGTGGAGCCACTCTGCTTGAATGGATCTCTTTGGAATGCTTGTTTTATCATGCCAAATAGAGACAATAAATAGCAATTCTTACTCTATTATTAGAACATCATTCATGTATATAATTGTGCCATACTCTCTATATATACTATGGTTATACTGTAACACAATGAAGTTGTTTTCTCTACCTTTGAGGTGCCCCTATAAATTAGCTTTTACTGGAAAATGAAAATATTGTGTGTCAGTTTATCACAGCCTCTTAATTTTAAGTATGTGCTGTACTGTACAACACGTTAACTGCTGACCTCTGCTCTTTCTTTTCAGCACTGGCTTGAGCCCAACAAGTCTATCTCCAAGCAAATGAAATGTAAGTGCTAACAGCCTACTTTATGTCTTGGTACCCTGTTTTGAAATGCCCATGAGTTGTGTTGTTTGTCTGCAGTCATTTATAGTGTGTTTTGTTTGTTTCCTGGTGCAAGAAGGTCTTTTGTGTCCTTGCTGAAGCCCTGAGAACTCTACACTATCCTCAGTACTTCTGATACTGTACAGCACTTACCATCAAGGCCCTTCATTATGACTACAAACTTTCTGGGTTAAGACTCAAACCAGATGCCTGACAACATCTCTGGAGTGATTCAGTGCATCCTTCCCTCATGAAAAGAACTGAGTGCTCTGGCTCTGGTTGTGCACCCAGTCCTTTTCAGACTATAGAAACAAGACACAGTGGCAATCAAATTGGAGTCTTCTGCCTTGTGGCAATGCAGAGTGTGAAGACTGGTCCACACTGAAAAGTTACATAAGCATAGAATGTCTCTCAGTGGTATGAAAAATCCACTTCCTCCCCCCGAGAGACTTAGTTAAAATCAAGCTAACCCCCTGTGTAAACAGTAGTATGTCAGCATAAGAATTCTTCCGTCAACCTCACTATTACCTCTTGGGGAGGGATAGCTCAGTGGTTTGAGCATTGGCCTGCTAAATGCAGGGTTGTGAGCTCAATCCTTGAGGGGGCTACCCAGGGATCTGGGGCAAAATCAGTACTTGGTCCTGCTAGTGAAGTAGGGGGGCTGGACTCAATGACCTTTTGAGGTCCCTTCCAGTTCTATGAAATAGGTATATCTCCATATTACCTATAGTACTCCCTCCCATTGCTGTAGTAAGTGTCTACACTGAAATTCTACAGAGGTGCAGCTGCAGCTGTACTGCTTTAGTGTTTTATGTGTAGATACAGCTTTATATGATCAGTTTAGTCCAGTAATCTCAAATGCTAGATAATTTCAGTGGGCTGCTAAATACCAGCAACAGTCAAGCAGAAAATTACAACATGTGACATTTGGCTATCAATTAATTTAAGGGTAGTCTTATTTTAAAAAGTCTTTTTTATTTCTCCCCCTCCCCTGTCCTGTCCCCACGTCCGTCTCCTCCCCTCTCCCCCGGAAGGGAGAAAAAAGGAGTGAGGTAGGAGGGAAAAGGAGAGTGACACAGAATCCTAGGACTGGAAGGGACCTCAAGAGGTCATCTAGTCCAGTCCCCTGGACTCCTGGCAGGACTAAGTATTATCTAGACCATCCCTCATAGGTGTTTGTCTAACCTGTTATTAAAAATCTCTAATGAGATGAAAATTTCACAGCCTTCCTAGGCAACTTATTCTAGTGCTTAACAACCCTGACAGGAAGTTTTTCCTAATGTCCAACCTAAACCTCCCTTGCAGCAATTTAAGCCCATTGCTTCTTGTCCTACCCTCAGAGGTTAAGGAGAAGAGGTGAAATTTAATGTTTTCCTTTATATACTATGCAAAAAATAATAATAATTTGTAAGCAAATGTATTGATTGGAAGATCACTGACTTCCACCAGTTCAGTGGTGTGACGTTCTTTAAAACATCATCAGCAAACACATATTTCTTGAATGGTTCTTATTTCCAAGCTGGATCTCTTTTACAGCCTGCTGCCATTATAGGTTTTCCCTTCTAGTGAGAGAATGGTATGGTAGACCTCAAATCAATGACGGCTACACTCAGAAGGACTTCAAGGCTTCTGAAATATGCTGCTCAAACAGTTTCACTTTTGTTTCTACTGCCTGTCCCTCCCTTCTCACATTTATCTCCAGACTTCTTCTCCTTGTCCACATCTATTCCGCCCTCAACAATCTTCTATTCATTGAACTTTATGAAACTTTGCACTTTTAGAGAGAGGTAAGGGATTGACTCTGTGTACACAAATTTGCAGAGGGAAATAGGGGTGAGGTCTGTTGTTTGTAGGGTTACCATATTTAAACATTAAAAAAAGAGGATACGCCACGAGGCCCTGGCCCCGCCCCTCCCCTTCCCCAGCCCCACCCAACTCTGCCCCTTCCTC